ACGACTGACCCGTTAGTATGAAGGTGAACTCTATTGTTTGGAAAATATACATGTCTTTGGATGTTCTTTGCGATTTTAAGTGCTTTTTATGGTGATTCGCTTAAATGAATATCTCTGCTTTCATCGTAAAACCAAATTCATGTATTTTGTATGCAAATCCACCAATATAATTGATTATTCGACGCAGCGATCGATCACTGATATTTAATTTTAATGATGTTCTTCTAAGGCTTCTAGGTTAGGTAAGGATAGGTTAGTTTTTTACAGAGCGTCGAGTGTTTCCTTCTATAGTAGTAGAGAGTTATGATTATATATATATATATATATATATATATATATATATATATATATATGTATATATATATATATATAGATATATATATATATATATATATATAGATATATATATATATATATATATATATATATATATATGTAACAAGCGAGTCTTCTACAGCTGGCGCCGCTTCTCGCATCCTAATTTTCAGCGTTTTCTGTCGAAGCAATTTTCAGTTATTAGATCTCTGGCGGTTATTGCATCCTCGACATCGTCTCTCCAGGATCGTCTTGGTCTACCTCGTTTTCTTCTAGTTGGCGGAGTCCATTCTTCTATTTTTTTGGCCATCTATTTTCTGGCATTCTCTGAAGGTGTCCATACCAGAAGTCTTTTGGCTTCAATTGTGTCTATTATGTCTAGATCGATTTCCATTTCTCTTCGAATATATTCGTTTCTCATCCTATCAAGTCTAGTGAGTTAGCAACATCGTCTCAAGTAGTTCATTTCCATGGCCTTAATTTTTGATTGGTTTCTTTGGTTTATTTCCCCGAGTTCGGCGTCGTACAGCCCAATACTTTCTATTATTGTTTTATAAATTCTTCTTTTATTTTCTTTTGTTATTTTTTTATTCCATAATAGTCCGTGTAGCTGTCTGGTGGCTGATCTTGCTTGGCCAATCCCGGATTGTATTTCTTCGCTTCTACCTGCTTTTGATGTTATTTGGACACCCAAGTATTTAAAAGTGTCTGTTGGTTTTATAGTTCCCATTTCGATTTGTAGGCTTTCGGGTTTTTCTCCTACAACTAAGTACTCAGTTTTTTGTATATTAATTGTGAGGCCCCATTTTGTGTACTTATCTTCCAGTTTTCTAAGCATGTAGCCTACATCACTATCGTCTTCAGCTAGATTGTGTGATAGAGCAAGAAAATTCCTGCAAAGAGGTGAGTGTATAAGTCTGGGAGGCGCCAAAGAGATGTTATATCCACACAGGATGGTTTCATTTCGCATTCTCTGGAAAATACGGTGGTGGTAGTTTTAGCTGGTAGCGAGCCCGGCATTGGACCCTTTTGGCTTGAGTCCAGCACTGTTCTGTGGAGCCTTCAGCTCTGCAGTTCGGACATAAATTCTGTGGCTTACCAAGATTAGTCAAATCGTATATTGGCGGCGGTAAAAACAGTCCTCCTATTTAAGCAATATCCCCATTATTATCAGCATTTCAGCTATAGCCGTACATAAACGTGTGTGTGATGCGTTGTGTATTAGAGAGATAAAACTCAAGTTATTAACTTAAGTTAGAGTCTAGACCGGGGGTGTAAAACTACCCTGTAGTTTTTTTGGGTGTAGATTTTTTTACTTGCTCACCCATAGTAACAATCCTTCTTTGTATGGTTTGATGTGACAGTGGCTCTGATTCAAATTTCTCCGCCATTTTAGAATTACCGAAAGCTTTGGCCATTTCAACAGCACATGTTTTTATCAAATTGTCATCAGTAAAAGGTTTTTGCCTTTGCCAACTCAAGCGACACGGCATAAGATGCATGCAAAGAATGCGTTTGAGAGTGTAATGTTTTACTGAACATACCAGTTTGCTGTTTAAGCTTTTTCATCTCATCTGCAACTAGGGCACGCCGACTTTCATTTGTGTACGTAGCATACTTATTTTCATGCACTGTTGTGTAATGTCTTCTCACATTATATTCTTTAGGCACTGAAACGACATTCATGCACACTAAGCACTGCAACTTACCATTATTGTTGGCAATCAAGTAATCACTTTCTCAACTTTCTTTGTAAATTCTGTTCTCACTATCAATTTTCCGTTTTACTGGTTTTACACTCATTATTGTATAAGAAAAATCAAGACAAATAATTAAGAAGTTCACTGTTCACTAGCAACGTAATAGATTAGCCGACTAGCCTACGTGTCAGTAGCATACTGGCATGATGGCGGCTGGCGACGGATGGTAAGCAGTGGGAGGTGTGGCCTGCGTGTACTGTAATGCGCAGTAATCAGTGCAGTTCTCATAGTGGTGGAGGACGATTGTGTTCGTTACACGTCCGCGAAGCGGCACGCGGTACAGTAATTATGATGTAAAAACACTGCTAAACCATAAAATATAAAATAAATTAAAAAATCTTTTCTATTTTCACAGTGGTTGCATTTAAAGAAAATATATGCTTTTCGAAAATCTTACGTGGGTCACAACAAATAGCCTCCAGTGGCCGCCATGGGCCGCCAGTTGGACAACCCTGGTCTAGACCACACCCTAAGAGTAAAAAAAGCACATGTTGTAATGGTGTTAAAGAAATTCAAAGTAAGCAATACATTCGAAATTTTCAGGGTTCAGGTGAGCTTAGATTCAAATTGGAAGAAAATAAAAAAGCCTTGTGTAAAAGGGCTAATGTCGTTTATAAAGAAATCAGCTTTTTTACTTGTTTATTTAGACAAAACCTGAATTTTTGCTAAATGTAAAATAAAACGGAGCTGGCAGGACGAGAGTATAAAATCCATAAAACACACCGATACACCGAAAAGAGACACGCATGTGCATGCGAGTGGAAAACATGATTTCATTATTGATGGAGCGGATGTTCTGTTTTCGTCAAAATCGTCAGTCAGTGAGTCAGTTATTCGCCAGTACTTGTAAAATGTTTATGTATAAGAGCATTATTTACATTTAACACAAAAGTTTTGATGACACGGTTAAATGACACTTTATTTTACAAGTGTGAAATTAGACGTTTCTAACATTTTTACAACACAAGTTCACTTATTAATATCGTTTTTTATTATGGAACAAAACATCCTTAGAAACCCTTAATTCAGTACATAATATTGCTATCCGCCTCTGTTTAGGAGCTTTCCGTAGCAGTCCAGCTGAGAGCCTCTACCGAAAAGCCAACGAACCTCCTATTTGGCTTAAGCGCCAATACCTCCTCCTTTTTAGACTGCCTCTACTTCAGCTAACCTTTCTAACCCAGTATACACACTGCTGACATTATCCAAGTATACAAGTACTTCATACTTTAATACCACATATAAATTTATCACTAACTAACCCTCTTCCGATCCCGCAGCATTCTCTTTGAACCAAAACTTTACCGAAATTTAATTACTTATCACTTACAAAGTTTATTAAGGCTGAAACCAACCAGGATTTGATTAGGAAATCCTTACTAGAAATTCTTAATTTTAAGATGTTTGATCGGGTCCTCTACACTGACGCATCAAAGAGCGAAACGGGGGTTGGTTATGCAATTACCACTATGGAACAGCCGTTAAATTATGTCAAATACCTACCACAGGCAGCGTTCACACTGGTGAACTGTATGCTATTTACCAAGCCTTCAAACTCTGGACAGCACCCAATCAACATATTGCCATCTGTACAGACTCCCTCGCCTCTATCCAGTCCATAAAATAATCTATTCACTAATCAGCCTCTTGTAGAAAAAATCCATGACACTTACCAAAATCTTATCGTCTATGTTATTCATGTCACTATCATATGGATTCCCTCCCACATCGGGATTAAGGGTAACGACAACGCCGATCGCTGTATTCAATTATACACTACGTAATATACAAATCACCAGTGACCTAAAACCTAGTATAAAGAAACTCGTGCGAAATTACTGGCAGAATCATTGGAACAAATCCACTACATTTTTACACCAAATAGATCAGACGATTTGGCGGATCTTTATCCCTAATATAACTAGAAATGAGATAGTTTTTGCTAAAAGATTGCCTATCGGTCACACCAGACTTACACGTGGTCACCTAATGGATTCTACACCTAAGCCAATCTGTCAATATTGCCAATCTTCACTTAGTGTTCTACACATCCTTGTGAACTGCCCTCATTACAATAAACGACGTCAAGAACTGGTCATGAAGGGCGACATCACAGATATATTATCGAACCAAAAGAAAGTCATCGCAGCTATCCAGTTTCTGAAGTTAGAAAACTTACTAAAGAATATATAACTATATCTTATATATAATTGTATCCACAGTGCCTTCTACTAATGCCCGAAGCTGTCACAGGTATGTTAAATTAAATAAAAAGAAAATAACAATTCCACGTGTTATGATCACAAGACGTTTTAAATATAACCTGATAACCTTAACCAAAATAATTCACAATCTGCAAAACACGATCTGACGCTTGGAAATTTTAATCCTTTCTAAGAAAGTTGAGGGCTTATAAATTGAGCTTATCTTTTTCGAAAATTGTAAATATTTTGTACCTGTAGAGATTACAAACTTTATTTGCTGATTAAAATGAGTACAAAATTCAAGACAAGAACTGAAATAAATTGGTATTTAAAAATTTAAGGTTAAACCCAAACATTTTCAGAGCAATGCTGAATATTTTATTTTAGAAAATCTCCGTCCCTGCTTTATGATGTTATATTAGGTTTTATCTAACGTGCAATAACATTTCTACTATCAACCATTTTCAAATGTACTATAAATAGTTGTTATACTTTTACAATTGTAATCGTCTTCTGAAGAATGATGTTTTCTGTAAAATCTGATAAGATTTGCATAGTACTCTGGAATCATCGCGTTTAATTTTGGTTTAACAGTCTAACTTTGTGAATGAACAAGAAGATATTATGACATATCTTCTAATTTAAATAGAAACAGTCAGCAAATCAATACCTTGTAGTTTCAAGTACTTTTAACTCAAAATATATATTGAAACAGACTCACCTTTCATTTGTATACGATACGTCCCCATTTCCGTTTTCCATATCTCGATATTTTTCCTCGTTCCGTATGATTCTTTAAAAATTCTATCACTAATCAGCACCATTTAACTAAAATAGATTATACGAAATTAAATTCCACGAATTATTATCTGTTATCAGTATTAACTAAAATGAAAGTAATCAACTGATATAATGATTAGGGACTGACATCGTATTTGGATTCTTAATATCTGCAGCCTATTATCGAAGAAAAGCGGCTCTCCAGTGGCGGATCTTAATGAGACTATTAAGTAAATATAAAAATGTTACCAGTATAATTTTGGGACCAAAAATATAAATAAAAATAAGAAGACTAAAGAAGTCTTAGAAGAAAGGAATCAACATGATATAAGCGGAAGAGGTACTAAAGTAATTACTATTAAACTGGGAATAAGCCACAATTAAACATAAAAATACGTTTATTGACGTTTCAATTTCCACTTCGAAATCGTTCTCCGAAAGAACTACAGCACTTCAAATGAACTGGTCGAAGTCCCTCTTTAAGGTAACGTGGGAATGGTCAAGTGGTCATAGTTTTCTATGCCCGTACTTCCCATATGGTGATATGACGCCCAACAAACAACACAAGCCTGCTAGCCTGACTTTCACTAAGCTACGCTACAAGCTCCACACCAACAGCTAACTGTATCGTCGACCTATTCCAGTTCCTGACACTGTGCACTGCCGTAAGTTTCAGCGATTAAGAAGCCACCAGTCCCAGAAGGTACTGAGGCCCGGGATCACCTCCTGCCTTACTCCATAGGCGCAGGTATACCCTCTACTAAAAAAACCGGCTGGAAAATGATTATGGGTTCCTGATGGTCTAGAAAAGGACAAAGTCGTTGAAAGTGAGGGGGCTGTGACAGAAGACGGTACCTGCAGAAGAAGAAGATGACCACCGGAAGCCGCTATGCCGTGTTGTGTTTTCTTGATTTCATAAACTTTCCAAACTTTTTTCTGATACTAATGTAATTGTATTTCTTGCTATAAATATGTTTTTATTGAATTTCTTTCCAGCCATAGAGTATTTAAAGGAGGGGGGGTGTTACCGGGAGCCTTAGTCGTGGATCCATTGCGCATCGCCCTGCCTCAAAACATCCAAAATTTTGGGTATTGTCTGATTGATCTGAAAATGCCATATAGAACCAAATAAATATGGGTCAGTCTGGTTTCGGCTCCCATATAGGGTATCCTGTACCCTGGAAGTCTGTTGTCGAGGCTTTGCTTCGTTTCTTCGGAACAGAGGCTCCGAAAGCTAATATACCGATGCTAGGAATATTCGTACTTGATTAATACAACAATGTCTCACTCTTTTCGTCAAGTAAGATAAGAATATAAAGTATAACTATCCCAGTTGTTAAAAGGGGAAAAACAAATTAACAAATAAAATTTGGAATACCTACCAATGATTTGGAAGAAATCTGAAAACAATTATTATGATGATTGGTAATTCCGTATTGTAAATATTAAAGGTACCAATCGGAACAATAAACAAACATTATTATATCCTAATCTAGATTCAGTAAGGAGCCCAGTGCCATATTCTGAAGAAATACCCAGTCTAATATTAAGTAGTCTACCTACACTCTCAAAAGATCACAAACAAATATTACCGACTAATTAAGTTGAGTATTTGCTCTGGAATAACAACAGTGATTTCAAGCAGATATGAGATGCTCGTTTCTCGTTTCAATCAACAAGAACTGAATGAGTTTGTTGAAGATCTGAACCTATCCAAGAAAAGTTCGATTAACAAAAGGCATTTGACAATGTACGACATGATGCATTAATACAGGCGTTGAGAAAGATTGGTCTCATTGAATGGGATATAGATCTATAAGGAAAATATGATGCATTTAATATAAATAAAAAAATAAAGAAGTAATGAGTCAGTACAAAAAAACATACATATAACATCGTTGATAGAGACGGCAAACTAATTATCACTGATTTGGTTAGAATAGATAGATGGAAAGAGTACACTGAGGAACTGTTTAATAATAAAAAACTCGATCTTCAAATTAAAGAAGTACTGACAGGACCTGGTATAACTATGGACGAAATTGAACGAGCCAAAAGATGAGCAAAGACCAGACATAATGTACGGTAGCGAGACCTCGTCACTTAAAGCAGCATCTTCTTCTTTTTCATGTGCCGTGCTAGATTATCGAGCGTTCACTATCAAATTGGCTATAGTAATTTTGTTGATGGCAGCTCGGAAAAGAGATGCAGGGGATCTGTTAAACCAATCTCTCAGGTTTCTAAGCGATGACGTTCTTCTTCGACCTGGACCTCTTCTTCCGTCTACCTTGCCTTGTATTATTAAATAGAGTATATTATATCTCTTTGGGTGGCACATAACATGGCCAAAATATTCAAGTTTGCGATTTTTAACTGTTTTGACGACTTCCGTAACTTTTCCCATCCGATGCACAACAACTTCGTTACGAACTCTATCCACCCAACTTATTCGTAGGATTCTCCGATACACCCAAATTTCAAAGGCTTCCAGTTTCTTTCTTTAGAAGTGTATCTGTCAAAGTCCAACCTTCGACATCATACAAAACAGTAGAGAACACGTAACATCTTACTAATCTAATTTTCATACTTGAAGTAATATTGTTTCCACATAACAGTTTCTTCATCTTAAAGAATGCAGCTCTGGCCTTCTCTATCCGTATTCTAATTTCTTTGCTCATGTCCCAGTTCTCATTTAGATTACAACCAAGGTAAGTGATACTGTTAGTTCTCTCCAGTTGTTCTCCTTAAGCTGTCACCACTTCCGGTTGTATTGGCGTTTTACTGACGACCATCACCTTTGTCTTTGCGGTGTTTAGCTTAAGACCATATTCATCACACGTTGTGGTCATCCTATTAATTAGATGTTGAAGTTCTTCGTAATTGCTTGCAATTAACACTGTGTCATCCGCATATCTCAAATTATTATGAAACATCAAAAATATCAAAAGTAACATCGGTAAACTGTATTGAAATGTTCGAAATGTGGTGTCTCAGAAGGGTGCTTAAAATTCCATAGGTCGACAATATCACAAACGAAGTGGTATAAAATCTAATAGCCAAAGAGAGCTTCCAACTATCGTTAAACAGCGAAGGGCTCATATTTATGTAATATCTTAAGATTCAACAAAAATAATCTTTTAAAAATATTTTACTGAAGGTCGGAGAGGAGATTCATGGTTCAAATACATAAGAAACTAGTGCGACATTTTGATATAAACCAACCAATGAACGTCTGCAAGTTGCACAGCGCACAGAAGATTTTTCTACTTAAAATTTCAAAAATATTCTCAGACTTACCATGCAAAAATTTTGTACATTGAATGAAATGTTTTAGATTATTCCATTTACACTTTTAATTTTCTATATTCTGGTAAAAATCTTGATGTTGAAAGCACTAACACATTCGAACTAATATTGTTTTTGTTACACAATGATAAAAATGTGTTTACCCAAATAATTGACGACATTAGAGTCGAGGTTACATCTCCGAATACAACTTGGATACTAACGATTTTTAGTAAGATTATGTCTTCTACAAAGAATAATTACTAGAAAACGATAAAATCAAAAGTTTTATAAAGTAAGCAAACATTTCGTAGAAGTTTGACTCATGTATGAAATTGCGAAGGTCAGAAAATAGCATTTATGTTGGTTGTTTAAAAATAATTCCATACTTATAACTGCATATTTTACAATAAAAATATTTTACAACTCAAATGGTAATAATATGCAGTTGTTATCAGTAAGCTAATATATATTCAATTAGTTCCAGACAAAATATTGTTTTTTTTTTATTTTTTTATACATTAAAGGGTTTTCAGTATTATTTAACCCAGACCACTAATAGCAATATTGCAGAAAAAATAAAAAAAAATAATAAATAGTCTTATTTTTAATACAGTGTGATCACTATTATCAAATACAAAATTGTATCATTTTTGTAAATAAAACACCCTGTATATTAGTATTAGTTCCGTGTCCGGTCTCAGCTTTCGTGGAGAAGGAGCTCTGAACTGAGTAGGGACTCTTCTGTACTTCTCGGAAGACAGACTGGTCGGGGGATGTCCTCAACCTCGACACGGCACGTCCCATATGGCTGATAGGAAAAGTTCCTGCAGGTATGCAGGACAGGTACGAATAAGGCATTGCCAAATAAGTACCCTCGGATCAACTGAGGATATGACATTAGGTAGCAGTAATGTCATTACTGGATTAGGGCTGTGGGAAGTAAAACTCCTGTAGGCACAGGCGTCACTCACATTATGAGTTAAGCGGCTGTGATACTGTGATAGAGAAGGCAACGGAAAACCACCCCATTATGATCCCTAGTAAAGTTATCATGGAATCAATGAGTGTAACGAATACTACTGATCATGGGCTGCGGAACTCAAGATCCGACAGGGGAAAGAATACACAATCAAACCAGAGGGCTTCCCAGGTAGCCAGCCAGCGAAATCCCTGTGAGCAAAACATCACTAGACACACGATGAAAATAAAGAATCCATATAAAATGGCTACATGGAATGTAACAACCGGTGTAACAATGTAATGACAATGTCATAACAAACGGAATGTAACAATGAAGCCGGTAAGTTGAGAAATCTACTCTCTGAAATGGACAGACTAAACATTACTATCATGGGGGCGAGTGAAACAAGATGGCCAAACAAAGGAAATTTCATTGCAGATGGTTACGCCGTTTATTTTTCTGGAAATCAAGACCATATGCATCGAAATGGAGTAGCAATAATTATCAAACAGCATATTAATAAGTATGTCACTAACTTCATCCCAATATCAGACAGAGTACTTTTAATACAGCCGAATGCTAAACCTGTAAATATAAGTATCATCCAAGTTTATGCTCCCACTGCTGACGCAGATGAGCAGAATATTGAAGGATTCTACCATCAAGAAAAATTAAATAAGCCTAAGAATCCTGGCTTGAGAATCTATGTAAAGAAATAGAAGACTTCCAAAAAAAGCATGACAGTTTTCAACCTCCACAAGAAACTTAAATATACTGCCGGAATTAGAAAACAGAAAAATGCTCACATACTTAAAAGCGCGGACGGCAAAATTTGTGATCACGAACAACAGTGAAAAAATGGGAAAGATACATCAC